AAAACAACTGCTTGTCTGAATTATCTGCATTATTTGTATTCAGCTCAATTTTTCACTCTTTGTGCGTCCATCCATGCATCAGGACTATGAGCCGCCCCTCATATCTGGATCCCTAATCCCACAGGACTACACAGATTAGTGTGTAGCCTATCTCAAATGCTTGTGTGCTTTTAGCAATATTACAGTTATTCTATGTAATGTGTAGCGCCTGACACTCATTATAATATAATATAATATAATATAATATAATATAATATAATATAATATAATATTAAGCAATTTCAATATAAGAATTTAAGTAGAGCAGTATTGTTGTATGAGGTTTATAGGCTACTGTTTGTGAGTATGGGCCAACTAATATTTGATAATACATTAACACACCCTTCATGCTAACATGTACAGTACTACACAAAGTACAAATGTCAATGAAAATGGCACTAACTCCACACGTTACAAATTTTCAACATGTCCGGTCCAAAAACAGCCGTATATCTGCCATACATAAACTTAAGGAAAACATGTCTTACTTTCTCCGACAATCGCCTTGAGTCCCAGAGATGCCATCCTGAGTGCTCGCTCTCGCCGCCGGACTCGGAGTGCGCGCGCTCAGATCTACAGTTGGTGTAAATGGGATGTGGCTCTTGCGTCGATGCCTAATCCCAGCACACGCCTCCGCAGCTCCTTTGTTGACATATGCAGCATGTCTTGTAAACATACACACATTTGTGCATCTATGAAGCTCAGCTTTCTACGCAGATTTCATCATGTTTCACGCCTGTAGTGGTTTTGGAGCATATGCTTTAACAAGGTGAACTCAACGAATTTGCATAGGATATGAAATTAACGTGATGAAAATAGTGACGTTTGGGTGAGAATGGTTGCAATCTGTTTAATAATAGGTGCGCCTGTAAGATGCGCGAAAAGACCACTTGGTGCCCACTAGAGGGAGACATCGACTTGTTATCCTGCCGCGTTTAAGTGGCCATTCAGAGATGCTTTGCTCGTTTGGATTATTTAAATGAATATGTATGTAAGACAGCCATCTACAGTATGATAACCCGTTATTTTACAGGTAAAAAAATGCTAACTGACCCAGCCAAGGCTCAAACCAGCGACCTTCTTGCTGTGAGGCGACAGAGCTACCCAATGCGCCACCATAACGCCCCATTTTTTTATTATACAACCAAATAAAAAGTTTTATTTTCTTTTAAATTATGTTTATTCATCAAGAACTTTACATCAAAAGTGACAGGTAAAAGACGCACTACTTAAGATTTTTACTAATAGTAGTAAGTAGTAACTAACTAGTAGTTTTTACTGACTGACATACACCATTTAATACCTCATTTTGTACTTTTAAAAATAATATAGCTCATTTCCATCCTGGTATTGTTAAACTCTGTCTCTCTAATAGATTTGCAGTACAAATCTTAATTTTTAAACCAGATTTATTTCTGTCTTATTTTATACATATTATTATTTGTGCTTTTGGTTTAATCTAACTGAATTTCACTGACTGTACTTGCACTCTCTACAGTCGCACTTAAGATTTATCTAGTGTAATCTCATGTAAATATCTTAAGTTTACTTCCTTTTGACCTACTCTATATCAGTAAAGCAGAATGAGATTCTTATTTTGTATGTGAATCCACACAATGTTCTAAATTAATATCACACTTCATGATATGTTTTATATCATAATTAGACCTTTTTTTATTAATTGCCCCTAAAGAATGGAAGTGGAATGCAATAACATGCCCCATAGAAATAGGTGGAGCACATTATAATGTCTAGGAACACATTGAACATGGCCGACCATATGGCAGCTCATAACTGATCTAATGGAAAAAAGAAAAGAAAAGAAAAGAAAAAAAACAAGAAGCACTAAAATATTTTGTTAAAAATATAACATTAATAAAAAAAAAACAACAATTATGTGTTTTTTGTTGTTTTTTTAATAGGCCTTAAAAAAGGCTTGTGATGTTTTTTTAACAACACACAGCTGGGCAAATAGATGAACAATTAAATCTAATTAATATTATATAATAATAATAATAATAATAATAATAATAATAAGTTTTTTTAACATGTCGTGTAATTAGAAACTGCTCATTCAGCAGACAAAAATAAAGAATTTAAAAAAACTTGACTTAAGGAGTATGATTTTGTTAATGTGAAATGAAATTAAAGTTTTGGAATGAACCATCCCTTTACACTGGGTTTTCATTGTGGAAGATGTTATTAAAGCAGATGTATTTAATGTCTAGGTGACAAAGTATACACTGACAAATACTGACAAAGAACAACAGCTTATAATTTAGGCCTAATTCATTCATGTGGCTGAAAAACACAATTTACAGAAACATATTTTTTGTAGTAAATATGACAGTTAAATGTATATCTAACACACTAAACACACTCTGCATCAGTTAAAACAGTGTGATTTCTGTTGGGCTAGTATAGACTTAAAGGTATAGTTCACACAAAATGAAAATGTACTATTTACTTGTCCTCAACTATAGAGTCAATGTAGCACCATATATACTTGCAAAATTAAAAAAAAAAAAGTATTAAGCAAAAATTAAATAAATCCAAATCTCCAAAAAACGCAAAGCGAAAATTTATTTTTGAGAAATAAAAATGAAATTTGCTAACAAAAAAGAACTGCATATAAAAATCAAGCAGTGCAAAAAATAAAATAAAATAAATATTTGCAATGAAAAAAACTATGAATATTTGCTAAAGTTTTTTATAGTATTGCCTTTACAAACCAGTCCAGTCAATTGCAATGCTCATTTTAATTAGCCTTTTAGTCAAAATTTTGCGATACTGATACTTTGTACTTCACGTTTTGGCACGTTTCACTTTGTGGCCGTGATTTGACAAGGACACAAAGTCAAGGGAACTTGGGCGTTTATGGCAGGCCCGAACCTACTGGATTGTAAGACCACCTTGGTGATGCTGTGTCTCCAGGTGATGATGTCACTTAAATGGAGGCAGGTCGTTCTATTATTTTGCAAGTATGTATGGCCCTAGATTGACTTCATACCAAGTGGTTCCAAACATCGAGTTCAGATAATCAGTTTAACAGTATAGATATTTTGAAGAAAGCTGAAAACTTATATTGACTTCCATAGTTCCATTTGAAACAATATTATATATATTTCATCATTCAACATTTAGCCTATTTAGATCAATGATTAAATTAATCATACACTGTAAAAAAATTGACCTTAAATTCACAGTAAATTACTGGCTAATAATTGCATTACTTTCACAGTAAATTACTGTATGTAAATTCACAGTAAATTATTGTGAGGTAGTTCACAGTAATTTACTGTGGTTTTGTCACATTAAATTATTGTGAAATTACAACCATATATTGTAACTTTACAGTAGATAATAAAGTCCATTACTGTGATTTCACAGTATTATCTTGTAGAATTAACTATATTTTACTGTGAATTTGCAATATGATTACTGTGATTTAGCAGTAGGTTGCAGTTTAAATACCTGATTTAACTGTAAAGTTACAGTTATATCCCGGACTAGTGTAATTTAACAGTATGGTGCTGTAAAATTTCAAAGCAAATTTAGGTCACACAAAAATGAAAATTCTGTCTTAATTTACTCACCCTCAGGTTGTTCCAGCTCTGTTAAAAAATGATTTTTTTTTTGTTAAACACAGGAATAAAAATATAAAATATTCCCCTTTGTGTCCAAACAACCTGAGAATGCATAAATGACAGAATCTTCATTTTTGAGTGATCTGAGAAAAAGATCTCTAAACTCTAAAATCAAAATAAAAACAAACACAAACATTTTACAGATTTATTTAACAGTTTAATGACATCTGTGTAAACATTTCAGAAAACTTTCAAAAGGTGAAGGTGAAGCCTCAAAAAATACTATAAGAACATATTAATAAAAAAATCTGACATCATATGAAGCAAACAAATAAAAAGCAGTGCTTCAGAGTGCGCTCTCTCTCTGTCTCTCTCATATATTATACATGTGTGTATATATATATATATGCATATATATATATATATATATATATATATATATATATAGAGAGAGAGAGAGAGAGAGAGAGAGAGAGAGAGAGAGAGAGCGAAAACTGCTTGCAAAAATAGGCAGTTTTCTATTTAAGGTCAATCATTTTCCTGATAATTGTACACACTTGCTGGTTGATGTGTCTTCTCTGCTTCTTTGACTTCGTCTGTCTTCCGTCTCCAAACTGGTGCCCAAAAAGCACCTATAAGCAAAAATGCAGATAAACAGTTAGCTCATTACAACACTACAGCGCAAAATTACTGTTAGCTCAGTTTGAACATGCTGACAATACTGTAGCTCAGTCAAACTGCAATCACTTAAACAAAAACATCTGAAAAACATTACCATCACAAACACACAATCAAGAACAGTCTAATGCTGGGTTCACACTTATTGCAAAGTAAACATGTGCATCACAGCACTTGCTCTTGAATATTATAGCAGGATGTTTCTTGCATCAAGCAAAAAAAAGAAATTTTTCATGATTTGAATATTTGGGAAAAAAATTTGCAAAACAAATTGATTCAAGTGATACAGCACTTGTGTTGTATTCACTTCAATCAAGTTTTTTTTTGCAAATATTCTTCCACATGTTTTGAGTTTCACTTAATTTGTGCTGCCCAGTAAAAATTCCCCACTATTTATGCATTTGCAATGACTTGTATGTAATCCACTCACCTGAAAAGGTAACTTCACATATGGTATCAGAGCCCCATCCTTTAAAAGACAGCTTCCTCTTTGGTCTCCAGCACAGACACACAAATTGAGTCTGCAACACACCCCTTTATTACAAGGGAAGAAGGGGAGTCATGACTTGTGCTCCTATACATTCCTTGTTTAACCCCCCAAACCCCCCTCAGGTACAATATTAAATGTAGACATTACCTTAAATTCCAGAGTGCAAAAGGCAACTTCAGCATACTTCAGTTTCAGACCAGATCCAAAGTCAGTTGTGAAATCCAGGTGAGGTCCCATGACCACTTGACCCTCCAAGGAATAAGACTAAAAAGGGGGGGGGGGGGGGGGAGACTAAATTAGAGGCGTTTGTGAATAATAATTTTTTTTTGTACAAATAAAGTTGACATTCCATGCACCACCTAATGAAAACCAAGCAAACAAACACACATGCCTAGTAAAATTGCTAATAAAAACAAAGACTGTAGTTTAAAAATTCTTTGTCTAATATTTACTACTACTGGGGGGTACTGGTGAAACTTCTGGAAGAACAAAAAGAGTGTGTACATGAAACTGCTCACAACAAATCTGTGAACAACTTGACATTTAAAAATCTAATCAAAATAAGGAAGGCATCAACATTACCTTGAATAATCAAGCGAGGTGTGCTTGGTAGCATCAGTGGCTGTGGCTGCAAAAAATAATAATTTATGAATATATAATGTTTAGATTGTGGTAATGACTTTAGGTTATATTTACTCAGTATGTACACTCACCTCACACTTCAGCTATACAGTAACACTCAGGACTCTCAGGTACACCTGAACACCAAAAAATTAAATGTACAGTTAACGTTAGTGACAATATACAATAAGTTTCCATTAGTAAATGTTAGCAAAGCATTAATATTGCGAGAGAGAAATAGACAGTTAATATGTACTTTGTTAGTGTTAGTTTAAAAAATATAAGTGAATTGTATTATCAGCTCCATTTATTAAAACAGTTAAGACTTGTTTCATAATGAATTTAGTTTATTTAACTAACTTACAGTGAACAAAACTAACGTTAACGTTAGCCATAATGATGTTCATAACGAGTAACGTTAACATACCAGAGCTTACCTTAACTTTATAGTCACTTCACCTTTACTTCAGTCTTGTACTGAAGTAGAGAATGCAGTTAACGCAAAGTTAATTAAAGAAAATTACCTTTCTTTTTTCAGGAACTAGCGTTAATGCTATTTAATACCTCAGAAAACAATTCAATCACCGTCTGGCGTCGGTTAATTTCTTGTTTAAAAATAGGCGCGCTCAGACCCTTTGTTAACTAACGCTAACGTTACTAACGTGGGACCTACAATTAAAGTAAATGACATGTACTCTACAGAAATATATATACAACAATCATTTAACGGACAAAAGTCACATTTTAACACTTACCGCAGATGAATCCGTTGAATGAAGAGACGACAGTTCAAACGCAGACGATGCCTGTGGTGGTGACGGTGCTTGTTTGCAGTCGAGTCAGCTCGGTGAATCGGCTCCTTTAAACGAACAGTAAAGAGTCGAATTCGCCTGAAACCGATTCCTTTTTGTATATTAGTGTAGGACGCAAACATATAATTCATCAATATTCCGTCATACTGCTCGGGTACACGCAATTTTTACACTAGTTGGAGACGAATTGCATGTTGATGAGTATCAGCTTATGAACACGTCTGATAAAATAACTGAATCTGATTCAATGTCACGCGAGTCCTGAACCGAAGCAGTGCAAAAGGTGATATAATGATTACAATAAAGTAAGTTTTTTTTTTGCCATTCAAAATATTACAAATATCTGACTTTAACAATAAGAATAAAGTTCGTTTGGAGTGTTTTGAGAATTATTATTTTTTTCTCCCAGCAGTCATTTCGCACCAAGCTGCAGCAAGCTGTAATGGTGGATGAGAAGGCACATACTATTATAAATGTTGCTTTTAATAGGTCATGAAACGAAGTTTTAACAGTTTTTCATGCGAGAATATAGTTCTTAAAAACTCAAATCTGTGGTTTGTTTGTAAAGATTGTGTGTATTTTAAGTGTGTTTTGCCGATAGCGGAGATCTATGACCTCCAGGCGGTTACGGCGCTAATTACTCATGTATCCGGCGAGAGGCGCCTGTCTTCAGGCTAAACATTGTGCCATTTGCCCCGGCTTCGATGGATCTATATGCGTCAGGAAATTAAGATTTAACCGTTTTTCATGCGAGAATGTAGTTGTTTAAAATCTAATCTGTGGTTTATTTATACAAATGCATATTTTAAAATGTTTTTTTCTTTTTAAATTCTGAGATTAGTGACCTTCAGGCAATGACAGGTGCCCAAAATGAATCGTCTAAAGCAGACATTTACCCTGACATTGAAATAATTTTGGCTGTTTATCAGTCTTTGGTTTCATTAATTAATTACTTTTTATTCCAGTTTATTATGTTTTAGCTAAGCACAAATTTATGTTCAATAAATATAATAATAACATATTTTATATTTTCATGTTAACCTTATAAAAAAATAAAGATGCAGTAGCTACAACTAAAAAGATCTTAGTAACCAAATTATTTTTGGGGCTGCAATAACATGCTGTTATTTCTAAATATCCAAAAAGTAGCAATACTAGCATAAAAGTCAATTTGTATTAATTTCTATGTTGAATTAAAAACCAAGTTTGAATTTCTATAACTAACATGCAAAACATATGGCCCCTTTTTACAGTAATTTGCTGTAATCATGCTACCTGCCTTAATTTCACAATAAAATTATGAATACAACATATTACTGTGATTTTTACAATTAAATACTGTGAAGCGATACTAATGTAATTTACTGTGAAAAATTACAGTAATTTGTTGTGAAAATCTGGAAATTTTTTACAGTGTATGTTCTTTTGAGTTTAAGAAGAATGTTAAATAGGTTTAGCATATAGTGCTGGGGAACGTTAGGCTACTTTAAAAAGTAATATAGGTAATCTTGAGTCACTTTTTAAAAAGTAACTAATTTACTTAGTTACATTTTAAGAACATCTTATTTGGCTGGACTTAAAAATAAGTTACTCTTAAAACTAACTTCCCAACATTGATCATAAGGGTAAGTAGCCTATATGATGACAACATTTTCAGTTTTGGGTTAGCTATCCCTTTAAGAATTACAAATTTCAGTTAATAGGTCAGCATCATTCATAATTCCACATTTAATGGAATTATGAGTTATTTATGATACTTGAGTAGCCTACACGTTCAAGACGAAAGCTTCCCTCATTCAGTTCGTTGACGGGCCAGTGAAGGTCTCAATTAAGTTATTAACACTATATTCTACTTTACAAATGTGAACAAGGACCTCGAATCAGTGAGTTTATAGAAATTAATGGAATCGATTCGGTCACTTTAAAGATTTGTTCAAACGCCCTTTGATTCATGAGCGCCGATCCCGCCTCTAATTGGAGGTGTGAATTCAGATTTCTGTAAACCCGCCCTCGGCGCGCTCATGTGCCTCATGAAGTAAAGTGTGTTTTGACGCCGAACCGAGCAGTGCCTGTTTCACGCTGGACTGAAGAAGCATTACAGTGTATCAAAGTTATGGAAAAAGTGAGCCTTTATTAATTCAGCACGGTGCGTGAAAACTATTTTTGTAACTCGAGCTGCCTCTACTGCCTGAGTAAGAAGAGGGAGGAGCCGCTCAAATCAACTTGAGTTCATATCTTATCATAAGACACCAAACCAAACCAGCGCCCTGCTGCCTGCGACCACACAGCTGCTCCACTGAGGCGAAGCTCACCGAGACAGACCAGACCAGTCTGCCAACAAATAGCGGCACGATGGGGGATTTGATCTCAACTCATCTGGATGAAAGCAAACGGGAGGTTATAACAGGTACAGTAAAGTGCTGTGTCGTGGACGCGGCTGTTATTAGTACTGCAAGATGTGATAGTCCGATTGTGTGTGGTATGTAAAATATGATGTTGCGAAAGTGTTGCAATGGCTTTTCAGTTTAGGCCAGTTCTGGGGTTTTGGGCGAAAGGGTTTACATTCCACTCCAGAAAGGAAACGTGTGGCTTAATGAAACTTTGTGCTTCTTTCTCAGTAAATGAGCATTTTGCTACGACGTGGCACAATATTTTCACTGCCTTTTTGGAAGCTTGGAAACCCACTGCAAAAATAATATAAAAAAGAAAAAAAAGGGGAAAAAACACACACGACGTTTTTTTTGCCATAAAAGTCTACAAAATAGATTATATTTCTATTAAATGCTGAAAATGAGTTGTAATAGAGTTTTTAGGGATGGCCCCAGAGCTGTGTGGTGTGGTCAGGTGTGGTCAGGTGAGGTTAGGGTGGGTCAGGTTTGAGTCAGTACTGGATTAGTCAGTACTGGAGTCAGTGGATTACTAGTAGATTACCAACTAGCCAATGTCCTGTCTTTTTGTATTTAATTTTAAAGTCCACTTTGTTCTAATAAAATACAAAGCATGTAGCACTTTCATGTGCAAATGAATCATTCAACTGATAGAAAAGATCAGTTTGAACAATTATGGCTGTAGTCTTTAGTCACATCAGCATCAAATATTAATATTGTTGTGGAAAATTCTTTATGGTCACCATAGATTGCGTTTTGAGATTATTGCTTTAATGTTCAGTATTTTCCAGGCTGATTTCTCTTTTTTTATTATGATTGTTTTCAACCATCAACTGTATTTTATTTTAGGAACACTGGTTTCTAAGATAGGTAATTGACTGGTTCAAGTAAAAGTTTTCTGTAGATAATATATAAAAAATACAAACCTTTATTATTCAGGCCAAGATTATAATATTATGAAAGAAATCTAAAAATCAGAGGAATTTTGGGATTTAAAAGGTTTTATTTGGATGCTTTCATTGCATCCTAGTTAATTTCTGACCGTATTAACTGCAAAAGGAAATAGTAAATAGATAGTCCAGAAATGGATTTTAGTGCCTAATGAAAACTTTTTTCTTTTTTTTTTGCCCAAATTCAGTTATTTGTTTTTAATTTTTGGTAAGTAAATTCTTTTTCTACAATTAATTGAAACAATTAAAATTATAAATTTTAACAGCAATTACTTTTTTAGAACTAACTGAAATGATTGTTCTTCCACACTGTTTGATTTTGACAGAAATAATAATTGTTATTTATTCCTTATAAGTAGAGATTCATATATTATTAGTTTAAGAAGTACATTCTACAGTGTGCAGTATTGAATTTCTGCCATCTTGGTCTTTAATTTGAACTTGTAGTGAAGATGCTTGAAGTTTTTGTGGTTTAATATAATTTTCAGATTTCATAAAAATACACATTGTGATTTGATTAGCTCTGCTGCATTTAATTAAGATTTTTAAAAATTTTGCTGCTTATATTTTTAAACCAATTTAAGAAGAACATTATGTTTTACTTAAGCAGGAACTTTTTCACCAGATAAAATCACATTTGTGAAGGGTAGGAGAGAAATGTTAACTTTCCATCTTCCCTCTTTTTTGCATATTTTAAGAGAAAGTGCACATCAGATATGGAATCTCAGGAATGCACAAAGAGCCTAGCAGCAGTAAGGAGGCTGTCTGGGTGATCTGTCATTCTCAACATTTAGATAGCCTTTGTTCGGGAGGTCACGAATGCTTATTTTATTAGGGTTTTTTAGAGTATGAAATATTCATAGCATGTGACTGACAAAATTGTTAAGGTTTAAATGGTTACATCCAAAATTACTTGTGTACTTGCTATGCTATATACAGTTAAAGTCAGAATTATTAGCCCCCCTTTGGAGTATTATTATTTTTTAAAATATTTCTAAAATTATGTTTAACAGAGCAAGGAAATTTCCGCAGTATGTTTGAAAATATTTTTTCTTCTGGAAAAGTCTTATTTGTTCTATTTTGGCTAGAATAAAAGCAGTTTTTAAAATATTAAAAACAATTTTAAGGACAAAATTATTAGCCCCTTGAAGATATTTGTTTTAGATAATCTACAGAACAAACCATCATTATACAATAGCTTGTGTAATTACTCTAACCTGCCTAGTTAACTTAATTAACCTAGTTAAGCCTTTAAATGTCACTTTAAGCTGTATAGAATCTTGGAAAATGTCTAGTAAAATATTATTTACTGTCATCATGGCAAAGATAAAATAAATCAGTTATTAGAAATGAGGTATTAAAATGATTATGTTTAGAAATGTGTTGAAAAAAAAATCTTCTTTCCGTTAAACAGAAATAGGGGAAAAAAATAAACTGGGCGGCTAATAATTCTGACTTTAACTGCATACAAAAACAGTATGTGGAAAAAACAGTAGTAACAATAATGTCCAAATTATTGGTACTCATAAAAGGTAGACTAAAAGTACTAAAGTATTTATACGTGAACTAACACTATACTATCTTATCTTAGACCATATGACAAGTTTTGTGAACGGCAGTGAAGCATTGCAACTGATGCTGATAATGACTGCATGATAATTGTATACATCCAGAAACATTTATACCAGGGGTTCTCAACTGGTTTGGCCATGGGACCCATATTTTTACATGGTCTTCAACCCCCGGCCCAAATTTTTAGGAACTATAAT